TCTCCCTTTTATTTTGACGATAGAGTTAAGTTTAGGGCACAACTTCTCGGCTCACTTACAAGACGCATTTGACTAGATAAGGTAACACCGGAACACGCCCATTGGCCCGCCGACAGCACGTCATATCTATCGTACGTGCCACTGCGATGGCAACCAACGTGGTCGCCAGCAAAGCCAGCGTTCGCAGCACGTCAAGTTTGTTCATGCGCATTAACAGCGGCATACGCTTCCAGCTTTAGTTCCTAACACCCTGTAGCCGTGTTTGCTAACCCGCGAAGTGTTGCTGGCTACAGCAACGCATTTGTTCAAGTTGCGTCGTCCCGCCGATAGATATCCCCAGCGGTCAGCTGACTGATGGGCGTGTGGTGTTGTTACTTTATCTGAGCGATCATGTTTCGCGCGGTCCTGACTCAGCAGCGGTTTAGGGTTAGTGTCTGCACGCCTGGATCCCTGGACTGATTGATGACGCAAACTACAGGTGGCCGACATCGCCTTCATTTCTCGCTGAAATTAGAGCAAGTGAGAAAATTTTGACGCTGGCCAAGCATTTTGGTGTAGCGTGGCACAATTTTGGCAAATTTTGCGATTTTGGTGCAGCTCGGCACAAAAATGGTGAATTGCATCAATTTAGCACAATCGACGCAGCTGTTGCGCCCCTTTATCTAAGTTGCGGTTTGGTATACAATCAATGGAACTCTCTGCGGTGGCTCCACTTGACGGGAAGAGAATCATATCACTAATGAAAACCACGATGGTACGTTTAGTGCTCAAATGGCGGTTCATGATTCGATTGCGATGTCTTGAAATTGGGTGCGCGCCCCTGAAATCAAACAATTGGCACCTTTCAGCACGTGAAATTCCGGACGTGATTCAACATAGTCTGTGCGATGCGCATAATCGAGGTGGTTTTAGAAGTAGTTGGTGAATTTGTGCTATGGTGCTTTCATTTGTTAGACCCTTCCTCCACCCCCCCTTTCGTGTTCATTTCATTGGCAAGGTGCCTTTCGATGTTAAACCTTTTTTTACACTTGGAAATTTAAATGATTGTAAGCACTATGCAGTGCATGCTTCAATTCTCAGACACGCGAGGCTGTGTGCTCAACATGTATCGCGCAAGTGCGACCCTTGAGAAAGGCCGTTATGGTTATAATGCGGTACCGTTTACAGTGCGGATATTCGTGACTCCTGCAACTTACGTTATTGTCTATACTGTAACTATCCAGCCACGTACGACTTTTAGCGGTCCTGATCGTTTTGATAATGGTATCTATACCAAAATTGGTATGGCATAACGTGACTGTATGACGAGCATAAGTGACTAGTCAAAATATGAAAATCGTGACATGCATTCATGAATGTCGTGTTTTACATTTCATGATCTTGCTGCTCTTGCGGTGGTTTCGTTCACATGACATATTGCAAAATTGGTATGGTATAACATGCATGCATGAAGAACATAGGCAGACCCTAACATGGAAACCATGACATTCATGACATGTAAGAGCATGACAACATACCATGCTCATGATGCACTCATGGCCGATTCGCTAGCTTCACATATATCAAATTGGTATTACATGACGTGAATTGACGACGAAGGTAAATGACACGTCTAAACATGATAATCATGACATGAGCGTCATGCAAAACATTACTACATGATACACTCATAGCGTGCTTGCGGCCCTTTCGCTGACTCCACATAAACCAAATTCGGTGTTACGTGACGTGAATGGATAATGAAGGTAAATGACGTGTCCAAACATGGTAATCATGACTTGTATGTCATGTAAGAACATTACAACATGCTACACTCATATTGCGCTCGAGGCCGTTTTTCTAGCTCCACATATACCAAATTTGGTATCACATGACGTGGATGGACGACGAAGGTAAATTACACATCTGAACATGATAATCATGGCACGCTCGTGGCTATTTCGCTAGCTTCATACATATCAAATTTAGTATTACGTGGCGTGAATGGAGGACGACCACAAATGTCGGGTTCAAACATGATAATCATGACATTGGTGTTATGTACGGAATAATTGACATGTGTAGTAACATTTTGCAGATTTAAAAGGGACATATCAACCTTACTCACTCGTGCTTTGCATATCATCGATTCCCGCTGTACGTGGGATCTGCGAATTTTTTTACTATGGTATATTTAATGATGATGGTGCCACAATTGTGTCTGAATAACCATAGAACTTAAAAAAAAGATCTGTTGATTGTATGCGGCAAATTGTTGCCAAAATATATTGCAACAAAGCGCGGTATATTTAATGATGATGGTGCCACAATTGTGTCTGAATAACCATAGAACTTAAAAAAAAAAAAAGATCTGTTGATTGTATGCGGCACATTGTTGCCAAAATATATTGCAACAAAGCGCACTTCCAAGACAGGCCTAGTCCGGTTCACCCAACAGTCCAAGCACCGCTCCACTACTCTTCTTCTTCCGCGCCCCGTACGCTTGTGCATCTCCGTTGCAATATGTTGTGGCTTCTTGATATGAAAAATTGTTTCACTGCAACTGACAAACTGGATACCACATTTATATTCCCATTGCCATAGAATGCCCCACTGAAACCTAACACAGCCAACCCCATTTTATATCTTCTAATGATATATCTAATAATTCGTGCTTGCTATGTACATCAAGGCTCAACTCTCCAATAGTCTATAATGTTTTTGAGGACATAGAAACTGCTATCTGTAAAAAACTAGTTTTCAGAAAGATGTCAGAGGCAGAATACTAGCAGAAGTCACACAACTCAATTAACAATAAAGTACCATTATTACTTAAGCACAATTTCAGTCAGCATGACAGGAGTAGTTCGAGTGCATGTCCTGTATTTTAGTAACTCTAGACCATATGACATCTGTAATGAGCTGAGTAACATTAGAATGCTCAGCTTTTGGAGAGCAGAAGAGCAGAATACAAGTACACATACAAGCAAAACACACCGTAATTTTCTTTCATAACGTGAACCTCACAGTAAAAGACAAATGTATGCAGCAGCTGTGGCATGCAATATGCAGAGAACAAGAAGGTTCTACACAAAAACAAATAATAAGGGGCTTTAACATCTGACTAGGATCCCGTACTTACCACCATTCCTTTTCTAAAACACATCAACAATGCAGCTAACATATTTTATAAAATAACACTTCACCACTACATTGCTCAAAATGCTCACTTAAAAAATTATCACAGTAGTATACAGAATATCAATAGCTTTTCAGAATCTTGGATTCCAGCCCTACTTAGTGACAGCCACCTAGTCTGAAGAAAACCTTTGGACCGTCAGACGAAGTGTTAAACGACAGGACATGGCCACTTCTGTTCGGAACATGTGTTAGGAGTGAGTGCTAGTTACATTATACCACTGATAGAAATTGTAAACAATGTTTGTGCCAAAATTTACATGAAGTACCAAAAGAAAAAGAGAAAAAAAACAATCCAGAAGGAAATTATCGTAATAATGCATGATGCAGATGCAGCAGTAAAAGGTAGCCAAGGCAACATAGTCTTTTAGTGATGAAGTAGAAGTAGAAAAGTAGAGCTTAATTAAAGTTAATGATTTTGGAGCACTTTATCCCACCATCACACCACAAATGAGTTCACCACTTTGCCTTCATTTTGAAATGCTGTCTTTCGCACAATAATAACAGTTATGGTTACGGAAGCTTGTTTTCCTTGATATTTGATGAAAAAGTATCCTGTTAAAATTAAGGATAAAATTACTTTTTCAACATCTACCTTTAGTGAGCAGTACAAGGCTAAATACTTGTTACTTGTTATAAAGGATGACGCATAACTTTTTGTGCACTTCGAGACTTCTGCCTGACGACATCAAAAGGCATCAGCGTTTCTTTTTAAAAAATATGTAACTAGCAGATAGCTATTCAGTAAGTTTCTATGTTTAATTTTGACAGCATATGGTCAACAAGCTTCCTGTACACAGATTTACAGCCTACGAAGCCCATTTCTTAGTTCAAAATGAACAGGTAAGTGCCTTTTCAAGTGCCAAAAGCACTAAATCAGTGAAAAGTTTTAAAGATGACTAGAGAATTTGCATCGCAAGTCTTTGCAATGGCTACCACCTGCAAGAATGACAGACAAGGTCTTGGATGTACGTGTCTCAATTTTGGCTCATTTTTAGAACCTGAGCCAATCATAAACGGTACTTGTTACATTTACCCAATGAAGCTTCACCACGCATTACATGATCAGGATCTTGGACTAAAATGTACTTTCAGGTGTGGTTATGCTCTTTTTCAGTCCACTTATTTCTTCTAGCTGAAAACTATTGAAATCCCATTTTATTAGGCAACAATCTTCTAATATACATCTTTACTATATGTATATTAGGACTGTTTTTTATTTAAAAGAACAAGGCACAAGGAGAGGTGACAGGCAATACGAAGCAGTATGCATTGCTGTCTACTTTGATGACAGAATAACAGGGAACTTTGGGGAACTATGACTACCTTTAGCATAATGTGGCCTACTTTCTGTTCACCGATGCACTATCAAAGACTGCATGAAATACAGGAAACAAAAAAAATTATTTTTCTTTCATAACAGCTGACCCTTTGATGATACACCACTTGCCTATACCCAAATGCCATCAAAAACTGTGGATGAAATTAAGGCAAGAAGTCACCTTGAAATAAAATATTGTACCGTGTATAGTATAAAAATTTCACTAGCTATAGACACTAGGCATTATGTAGTTATATACATTTATGTTTGTTTTAATTCCCCTTCTATCTTTCTTGTCAGATTTTACACAGCCCTGGCCGCTAAGAACATTTTGAAGCACAGCAAGTGGCAATAAAAAGAGTCACAGGAGCCTATCATATCGCTATAAGGAGAACTTCATAAAACTACAAATTAATTTCAATTATATGTTACATTTAGCATAATAGACGACCCAGCACAAAATATCAAAAATTTAAGCAAGTAGCCAACGATGTGCACTCACAGCCCTTGCCATGATGCCGTTTCAGGGCACAGCTCAGACATTCCTCGGTTACTAGAAGGCATGTTTGCCTCTGGAGACATGTAGGATCCCTCAGTTGGTGCAGAGAGCATCTCAGCAGCTACCTGCAAGAGAAATATTTATTTTAAATGAAGCTGTTGGGAGATGGTCACATTTATTAGACGCACAGCAGAACCAATGCGGTGGTGCTATTCCCTGAAGCAAGTGACGAGCATAAATCACATACATGCTGTCACTTCGAAAAATTTAGAAGTGCAACAGGCACAAGCAAGAATAAACAATATAAATAAGAATAAATAAAGAAACAGCTGAATAGAATGTTTACCATCTAGCAGGAGACAATACATAGCTCACCTTTTCACTCAGTTCACCATGGTTCAACAAGTATTTCTCTAAGAACTGTTTGGCAGCCTGAAAGGCACAAAAGATGGTCCCATTGTAGATTCAATTTAGGGAGCACAGAAAAATTGAACATATTCTTTCAAATGGAGTTTGAAATAATATGAACATACATGATTGCTATTACAAGGTTAACTTTAAAGGAGGTCCCAGAGTTTAATCCTTTATTGCCGGGTGCTAGGCACTGGAGACATACCAAAATAGCTGACTCAGCAATCCACGAAACATGTGCTGTTTTCAATGCCAGCTGTCACGTATTTGCGGAGAACAGAGGTTGCAGCACACAACATCTAGCACCACCTCGTGTAAGGTGTTTTAAGGAAAAACCAAGTGTTGTGTAGCTGATGGCGGAGAGTGCAAAACATGTGCCGCAGCTCTCACTTCTTCCGTTATTTTTCCCCAGAGTGATGCAAGTTCAATCTTCTGTAAATCATGTTTGGTTTCCATGAATAAAAGACATTTCACAAAACATGTTACATTGTTTCGAAGTATGTTTTTTGTTGCAAGATCCTAACCTCTGTGGTTTGTCATCAATTTGCGACATCCTGCATTCGAGTGTCAGAGGTGTCTGCCGCTACGGCAACTTCATTTTTCATTTCTTGATAGATGATGGACGTACAGTCATTTTATGGAAAAGGACGTACACTCATTTATGGACTTACGCCCGCACTTTTCATGTGAAGATAATAAGTGTCTCAGTGACAGCGAAAACGTTGATATTGATCCTGATATTCATGCACGAGCACCAAAGCCTTCATCAAGCAGCAAGGATGAAGACAAAGATGCAGTAGATGAACCTAGTGCCAGTCTAAGACATGCACTGAGATGAAAAAAAAAAAAAGACAGACAGACAGTCCAGAACAGCAGGAAGTGCCACACTTTAAAACCACTCTTTCTTAGTGTGACACTGTATGAGGTTCTACTGAAAATTTCGGGGAATTTTTTTTTTTTTGATGAAGCCTTCATGGATCACGTTGTTGATCTAATTTTCACGATGCAGACAAATCCTAACAATCAGCTGTCTATACCTTATAATGAGCTTAATTGATTTCTTGGCACCATCAGATTCACGAGACTCTGTCGACTCTAACGAAGTTGGATATATTTGGTGGTCTAGGGCATCTACGGCAGTCATTATGTCACGTGATTGTTGTAGAAGCAATCAAGTCAAACTTGTATTTCAATAACAATGACAAGCCGTCACATGACGACCTACCCAAGGATCGTGTTCTCCAAATTCTGCTTAGAACACACATCTATATTCAGCCCCATACTGGCTTTTGAGTGCCAGTTGTCGTGAATTCGCGACATACCTGAAACGATGCATTAAGGTCACATTTTAGATAATTTAAATGCAGAATGAAGTAAAGTTTGCGATTTAGCACAGCAAAATGCTAAACGACTTTTTTTTCATTGGCAGATTCATAACTCGGGCATTAAAAAGTCAGCAATCAATTGGGACCTCTTATGACACCTGCTATTGTTTCATTAGTGCTTTATAACTCTTGATAGTTGCCTGGAATTTCTTTGTTGATAAGAAACCATCACTATACTCTCGCTTCTCAGGAAGCACCCTATTATATAAAAAAAGTGGCCATTAGGCAGCCCTGTGCATGCTATCCCAGTTCTAACCTCACTAAACACAATGATATCCCAGTTAACTCCTAACTCCTCAAGTACTTCTACTAGCCTAGCTTCACTACAGAGGTTCAGCTTCTACCAGCTGCCTGTTCGGCTCCAGTGGTTCTTTTTTGTTTTGTTTTTTGTACACATCAGTGCTCTTCCACTACTAACACATGGGGCAGAAAATGAAGAACCCCACAGTGTGCACTGTAATAAAAAACGATAGGCATAATGTAGCAGAGTTCACCAGAGAACAAAGACAAGCAGCTGATATCCTAGTTGATATTAAGACAAAAAAATGGACCAGGGCAGGTCACATCATGAGAAGGACAGATAACCGATGGTCCGTTCAAAAGGCGGAAGGGATACCATGAGATAGGACCAGTGGCAAAGGACAGGGAAGGGTTCGGCGGAGCAAAAAAAGAAAGAAAAAAAGATTTGGACGCACAAAATGTAATCGGCTCAGACAAGACATGGCGGGCTGAAGATAAACGGGGAGAGGAGAGGCCTTCTTCCTGCAGTGGACATAAGTCAGGCTGACAATGATTCTAACAAGTACCAATTATAAAGTTAAACTTAGATAACAGGCACCTTATTTTGTTAAACAGAAATCCCTCTACTTCTAAATACTAGACACTTTTATGCACACTCTATAGGCTATGCACCCCTGTTCCGGCACAAATATTCAAATAACTATCTTGAAAGTTAAACAGGGATAACCTACGCTTTCAAGAGCCCCTTTTATAAGTGGCCACCATGTAGCATGTAGATTTCACTGCACGATCTCTGTACAGTACATCAATGCTGTGCATAGATATAGTGCATTGTACAAAGGCACATTAGTCTGCTTTTGGTATTGCCAGCAAACAGCTTGCCAACTTCACAGTGTGGCAATTTCAGAGACATTGACAACTGATAACGGTGACAATAGACAAGCACTGTATGCTATGTAACCGTGCGATATTGACAATCACGATCCAGTCACTTGGTGCTCTGCACACCATGGAGCACTCGATGTTAAGTCTGCATGCTTCCTTTGAGTGCCTTTAGCTGAACACACTATTCACCAACAAAAATTTACAGTACAGGAATGGCCACTGCAAGACACTTTAGTATTTTCAGCAAGTACGTAGCACTGAGTTCTTTTGAAGTTACATACTGCCGTGTACACACCCATGTTACCTAAGCACTAGACTGGCACTAAGTTCATCTACTGCACCTTCGTCTTCGTCCTTGCTGCTTGATGAAGGCTCTGGTGTTTGTGCATGAATATCAGGATCAATATCACAGTTTTCGCTGTCACTGAGACAGCTATTATCTTCACATGAAAATCATCATACTGACTACACCCACAACAGAAAAAAAGGCCTTTCCCTTGTTTCACCAATCAACCCGGTCCTGTGCTTTAGCTGCCTTGATATACCTAAAGACATCTTAATCTAATCTGCACATCCAACTTTCTGTCTATCACTTGTGGTTTACATTCTTTTGAAATCCATTTCATTACGCTTAATGATAATGACCAGTGGTTATTTTTCGTACGTGCTGAATGCCCTGCAAATGTGCATTTCTTATTTTTGATTTCAACAAAGATGTAGTCAAACCCGTTTATTCCCTCACCCACTGTGTTCTCTTCTTATTGAAAGTGCATAGAAACACCTACCACTTTCCTTTACATCGCTCACACTGTCTTCCTCCCTTTAACATTTTCGTAACCGTGCCTATCCCCATCAATAGAATGTTGTCGATGTTTACAACTTCAATATTTGCCCCACGAGTGCTTGTGCTTACCGTATTTTCTCGCATATAACCCGCCCTCGCATATAACCCGCTCCCCTAACTTTGAACTCCCCGAAAAAAGAAAAAAAATCCTCGCGTATAACCCGCATGCTTAGCTTAAAAAAAACTGTTTTGGGAAGTCACAGTCACAATCTCGTTTACAAAAGAACTTTATTTCGAAGCGATCGCCGCAACGTTGACGGCGCCGATTCCCGTTCCTTCAATCATCGCCCGACTCGCCGCTGTCGCTGCTGCCATCCGAGGCTTCGTCGCCGCTCTCGAAGACGCAATCATCTTCGGTGCCATCCAAGCAATTGCTGATGGCGCACTTTTTGAAACTCTTGCGCACCATGTCGGCCGGAATCGCCCCCCACGCATCCACGATCCACTGGCACAGCAGCGCAATGTCTGGCCTCCGCACGCGCCCCGTCGGTGTGAGGGCGTAAAGGCCGTCGGCCATCCACTCGGCATACAGCCGCTTCACGTGCGCCTTGAACGGCTTATTGAGGCACACGTCCAGTGGCTGTAGCATGGAAGTCATGCCACCGGGTATGATCACGAGGTCGGTGCGGTGGTCAGCGAGGCGCGCTTTCACTGCGTCAGTGCAGTGGCCTCGAAACGAGTCCAACACCAGCACCGACCGCCGTGCCAACATGGCGCCCGGCCTCTTCTTTCAGATCGTGCGAAGCCAGTCACAGACGAGGTCACCATTCATCCACGCGTTATCTTCGGTTCGCACAACAATCCCTGGTGGCAGTGGAGTGCTGGGTAGCGTTTTGCGCTTGAAGATTACATACGGGCGCAGTTTGGTACCGTCCGCCAAAGCGCACAACATTACTGTGCAGCGTAGTTTGGTGTTTCCGCCCGTCAGTACGCTTACAGATTTCGAGCCCTTTTTCTGCAGAGTGGTGTCCATGGGCATCTCGAAGTACACGGGCGTTTGATCGGCATTTCCCACCTGGGAGAGCAAGTAGTTGTGCTCCTTCCGCAGCCCGATGACGTAACGTTGATAGCTCAACAGCTTATCCTCGTAGGCGTTGGGAAGCCGCTGGCACATAGTCGTTCGCCGCCGCATCGAAAATCCGTGCCTGGCCATGAATCGCTGGAGCCATCCACGGCTCGCACGAAACTCGCGTGAGATGTTCATCTCGCGGGCCAACCTCAGCGCTTCCATCTGCGCCATCTCCGTTGACACAGCGTGGCCGCGACTCCTCCGCTCCTCAATAAATTTGACAAGCTGCGTCTCAAGAAGGGGGTACGCACCAGTCTTCGGGCCGCGAAATGCTCGCTTCTGCTTGTGTGCACTTTCGAGAGAGGCCTTTTTTTTTCGCCAGTCGCGAATGCAGGACTCGTCGACATCGTGCCTCCTCGCAGCAGCTCTGTTGCCGATTTCTTCCGCAGCAGCTATAATCGCGAGTTTTTCTTTCGCGGTGAAAGATTGTCGCCGAGACCCACTCATGGTGCCTCACCAGACAAAGCTGACCAACGGTGCAAACTGGCCACACCTGACTCTGAGACAGACGCTGTCAAATCGCTGTTGTGACGCTGTTGACCAAATCAAACAAAGCACGCAAAAAGTGAATAAACACGCTACGGACGGGATCTGTCTATGGCCTATGTTGGCTTTTATTGGCTTTGCACCAGACGATGCCGATGGGGATGCGGACTGCACGGCAGGCTATGCATTGCCGTGAAGCCGACCTCTGCTTCCGGATTATTCGCAGATAACCCGCACCCCCACTTTTCAGGCGATTTTTTTCAATTTTTGGTGCGGGTTATATGCGAGAAAATACGGTACATTGTGCCATCTAATCTGTAAAAAGAGAAGTATGTTATCAGTTTCACTTTTATGTTTCACTTTTTCATTCTGAGGAGATTCTAAAACGCCTCTCCATACACGCGGGTGAGTGTGTGTAATTTCAATGATGGCGTCGACGCTGTATGTGACCACTCCATGAACCGGAGAATTTCAAAGGAATCTCGTGCATCTGGGCTGCAATCTTCAAATGATGACACTAGCACAGGCTGAGAAGACGACATCTACATTTCCGATTTCAGCACAGATGTACTCTATGAACCAGAGAACGTCAAAGGATTCTCGTGCATCTGGACTGCAATCTTCAAATGATGACACTAGCACAGGCTCACAAGACGACATCTACACTTCTGATTCCAGCACAGATGACAAGAGTTCGTCAAACCACCCCAGAACACCAGCGGTCGTCCGCCGGTGAATTTTGCTTTGTGCTCAGGCCGTGTTATGGTCGACGCGCATCAGTGCAAGTTGATCCGATGTGTTCCGATGGTTAGGGCACTTATGCATGGTATCCACATCCGTAGAGAGAGCAGTTTCATGCGCAGAGGCAATGAACTTCAAAATAACGCTCTGTTAGTGCCGCACAGCGCTTCGGGAGAGTGGTCGACTCTTTTCTTTTTTATTGTTTAAGTTATTGGAACAGAAAACAAATGTTTTCTGTGAAACATGCACAGCCAATATGTTTTTTTACTACAGCGCAAAACTGCTTTGCACCATGGCATGAAAGACACCACATGTAAAGTTATTCTATGCACACAAAAACTTTTTCATTTACAGCACTTATATTTACAGGATTATTCTATGTGTGCACTGTGCTTAAAATGTATATTTCGATTTTGTTTTATGCTAACCCTATTCAGAGCAGTATTGACGGTTTTGTGAAATTCCTTTGTTCATGTTACAATTTTTTCGTCTCATAATTTTTTTCGTGTTGTTAATAAATTTGTGGTTTCAAACTCACTGTTTGAAAGATAACTCCTTTCTATACAATTTGATACTATAAACATTAACGTCAGAAACTTAGGATGCCATGAAAAATAATGTTCTCTCAATTACCCAAAAACGGCCAAATTTCTCGCGGTCACGAATATGTTAAGTAGAAAAATCCTTGTAAGCCTCAAGGTTACTGCTCAATATGCAAGTACCAGTAAGAGGCAGCTGTTATTTATCATCCTCTTGAGGGATAGTGGTAAACTACCATTATGATTTGAGAATGCCTGCCCAATGCGCTCCACCCCACCTTTATTCCTGTAGTTACTTCAGTCTAATGGTCCAGCTCCACAGTTACTATCTATTCTAATTGGCTGTATTCTTTTACAACTTTCGGTGCCTCACTACCATTGAAAAGTGAAGTTCTCTTCCAAGACTGTTGCACATTACTTTAGTTTCCTGCATATTGATTTTCCTGTCACACAACTATCATAATCATGCTTACAAAGACATAAGCCGAGACCAAATATAAGTGGTGGCTCACCTTAACCAGGACGGCCTTGTGTCCGCTGATCCGGAGGGTATCCCTGCCTACAGAAGCAGCGACAGTGTATTCCCCGATACTAGCATCACCCATGCTGTAACTGTGTACGAGCGAAGGCTTCTGGCAAGTTTCTTTAGCTCCCATGCCATAACTGTTGGCCGCCTCATCTCCCATTTCCTGTTGCATAAAACAGACACCTTTATCTTTGCCCTTGCCATTAAAAATATGCAACACTTACTCGAACTGGAGATGCGTTGCGTCGTATAGTATCTTCAATCAGTTCCTTCGCACGCCTAATCATAATGAAGAAATGAAAAATTAGTTCATGAAAGTGACATCAAAAAATCTGTCAATAATACCTAGTAAGTGAAAAGCATTCAATTTATAGCAGCAAACATTGCTGTACAATAAAGTTTGTTGTCTATCAAAACTGCATACCACTTGAATCATTAAATCCATCTTCACTCCAAAAACCAGAAGCACAAAAAATGGTTCGTTTAAAGGGATACTAAAGGCAAACAACAATTTACATCAGAGTGAAAGATCAATGTTTGCAGATATCAATGTTATCAACAGCAGTTCTCTACTAATAAAAAAATTAAGGTGGTATCTATTCAATTTGATTCATGCCTGAATGTAACTACTCAAACATCCCAATGAGAAAGACAGTCAGCATACGATTGAAAGTGACCCCTTTAGCTTTTCAATATGCTTCTCCTCACCACTCTAGTATTGCGGCAAAGCTGCCTTTTAGGCTCCTTTATGGTCGAACTACCTTAACACAAAAATAATACAATATCAAATTAGCAGTGGCTCAGTCAGATTTCAACCTTCACCCCGTCACATTCTTGTGTAGAGGAGACCCGCGCCGAGGGAGGCGCTGCAGAGCGTGGCGCTGTCAGTCAATGCGGGGAGAAAACGGGTTACTCGAGCGTTGGCCTCTCCGCTGTCCCATTCAACCTGCTTGCAAACGCGTTGCTTTGCTCGCACGCTGCACGCGTTCTGCACGTGTTTTTGAGAGTCTCGCGTCGCGCGCGGTTATGATGTATGCGCTCTGTCCGCATTTAATAGGATGCCGCAATTGAGGATTTTTTTTTTTTCTTTCGTGGCAGCAATTTGGTAAAAGGGCAGCGAAGCAAGTTGTAGCAGACGACCCCGTCCTCGTCAGAGCGAAGTGCGTTTCGCAAGTGAAAGACGACGCTGTTTACGACGTTAGAGGTGAATAAAACTTTCTGTACGTTCATAATTATATACCTGTTTTATTTAGTTTACTCTGTGTACTATGCACTATGTTTGTTACTGGATGCATGGGTGAGGCCGCTTCTGGTACTTTAGGTTAAGCGGTTCTTGCGCTGTGACTGCTATTAGTTGGGATACCTTAATTTACTAGCACCCACCCAAGTTATCGTGCGGTATATACACAGCACTTCAAAAATAAATGGTCTATTTGGGGCTTCTTTCTGACCCACAACGAAAATTGACATCTATTTTGCGTGTCTTTCCTTGTATTATCACCGTTCTCATCGCGGGTACCTTGAGTTCACGAACAGCGTGCGTACCATCATGATGAGGGCCCAGCTTTCAGAGAAACTTTTTTGTGCGTCTCTAGTCCGCAGGGGAAGAGTGCATTGCTATAAAAGCATTTTATCTTGGTCACGTATCAAAAATGCACAGTGTTGTTCGGGCTACCCCTGCACACTCAGTAACAACTAATTCACCTAGTTCACTGTATCTGCCAACTGACGTGCAACAACGGCTGATGCATTTTTTTTTTTTTTTCATAGTTGTCCAAGCTTTTGGCAACCACAAACTTCCGTCGGCGCTGCGTAGATTTAAAAATATATAACAACACAATACCAATACCACATGTGCACACAGCTTCAGCTACTAGGTCCCCAACAATATTGAATAATAGTAGCAGCATAAAATATTTCTTCGCTATTTTTTAACAGTGCTCTAAAGACCGGCGTGAAAATTTATACTTTTAAGATGGGGACGTGCATCTCCCAGTAACTCGATAGATTAGAGGAATGGTGACGCAGGAATTAACACCCGTAATTTTGAATGCATTGTGCGCGTGAAAAAATTGTTTACATACTTTTTCGGCGCACTGCTTTAATCCATTTCTCTTGTCTGCTTGTTTCATACCATCCGTTTGGGAATCGGTAGAATTTCGCTGGTGGAGTCGACCTCTTCGTATTTGCATGGTTATTGTGACAGTTGACGACGCAGCAATGTCACTCCCTTTTCTGTTGGGGTGACATCGTGGAACGAGGGACGTTTCACGTGCAGAGCGTGCTTCGCAAATGCGTGGAAGCCAAAGGGAGCGGAAGGGTCGGAAGACTACTGTTGTGCGCTTTTTCTGGCACGGGAAAGGCAAGCGCTGGCGTCGCCGAGCAAACTTGAGCGGGTCTCCCCTATTGCGGTAAAGATGCCTTTCAGGTATCTCAAAAGAGTACGGCCACTAGCGTGGGTTCAGTTTTAGCGAGCCACAGGGCCACGTTCACCGTCGCCTCGCATGCCTTTGAAAGGCACGTTCACACTTGGCCTCGAAGGGACCGAAAGCAGCGAAACTCACAAGAAATTCACTCGCTTCGCTGCCTATTGGATCGTTCACACAGAGCATTCCGGCCAGCGAATCCTATTCGACGATGGCGAGATCCTCCGAAAAAGCCCTATCCGCGCCAATCGCTCTTGGACGAATTTTTGCGGCATGTGCCATAGGATCAGTCGCCGCGTACTATCAATAGAAGCACTAGTCAAAAAATTAAAAAAAAAATGGTGGCCAAGCCCAACTCGCTTGTCATGTCACCATGCACGTCGCTTAATGTTGTAACCAACGAGAACTTAACCCACTCAGTGTAGTAGCCCACTTTTCGTCCCGATCTTGTGGAAGAAGTGGCAGTTGGGGTGACCGAGCTTGTGATGGTATCGCAGAGCGATACAAACCCACCAACGCCGCTGGTGTCGGCAGTTTTTTCTGCTCTAGTCATGCATCACAAGACAGCAGCTTGTCAGCAAAATAAACAGCACTGCTTCTTCCTGCGTTGTGTACGAGAATCATCGAAGTCTACACGACCAAATAGCGTAGCGGCGTTTGCGAGCCGTGACAATAACCGGCGCATCCATCCCGTGTTCGCCACGTGGTAGATGGTGTATTTGGCAGCACGGAGTGCGTCTAGAGCGAACGACGCTGTGTGTCGGTGACAGGTGAATTCCGCTCGCTGTAGAAGGTGGATTCTCCAGTGCAAACAAGGCATAACGCGCATTCACACTTGAAAAGTGAAGCGAAAACACAATCGCTAGAACGGCCGGAAAACCCCGATTGTATGCGTCGAAAATGTTCGTTCTGCCACAGACTTTGCCGCTGCCGTCGCTACCTCGAAAATTAATTCGATTTTGCCTGCTTTCTAAGCACTAACTTTCATATCGAGTTCTAGTTGTTCACGCAAAGTACTGAAAAGAAGCAGCTCACACTTTTTCAAACTTTGTTTCAGGAGTGAATGCACCAGCAGTGGCAGCCGATTCATCTGGCGGTACACAGGCGCGAGATACGTTGGGGCATGCCGACTCGCTGCTGTTGCCCCATCCTCTTTGAGGCCGTCAAGCTTCATCGTGTTGCTGCATGGGTAGTTCGCGATTTGAGCCGAATAGAGCCACCACTGACGCTATAGTGCCTAGAATATACTTTATAGTCGGTTACAACCTAAGAATAAATACAGGTTCCGCCCCAAGTACTACAGGATGCCCGCCATTCATCTGTGCAATGGAGGAATGACTCGCGATTTTCCGTTCTAACCATAGGCCCATTTTCGCAGGCAAAATGCAAATACGATGCATATTATAAAGTAAAATTTCATCATTCCCTGTTAAAAAGTTACATTGCGCAGAAGAATGAAGTCAGTTTTTCTTTAAGAAATTTGCCAAGAAGTAAAATTTTTCTACCAAAATGAACATGAGCCTTACGGGCAAGTGATCTGTCTGAAATCTATAAAATCTGCCTGACGTCGCGTTAATAACTGACAGGTATTTAGTAAGACATTTATGCAAATCTGGCCTGGGTGAGACAGTGACTGCTGTGGGTGCAGCTTACACTTATTCTTAAGCTGTAACCAACTATGTTCTTCTAGGCACTATACCAATGCCTCTGCCACCATGTTTAATCTGTGGCTGGCTGGTTAGATCACGTGGTTTGAGCTCGCGCAGCCAAACTCGTGCGGATCCGGTTTCGCGTGGCGGGAAAATCTGTCTTGGACCGATTTTTCCTTTCCGGCTGCACAGTGTGCCGCTGCGTATGCGCGTTTGGACAGCGAAGACGCCGAGCGTAGCAAAGCAATTATACAGTACTGCTTTCGAACAGGTCGCAACACTTTCTTGCTTGCGGCAACACCAAAAATGCAGTACAGCGCCCATACCGAAAAGGGGGCGGGAAAGCAAACAAAGCTTATCCACGCCATGGGCGGAGAGTACAGCACAAAGGGTGCACGAGGACGTCTTCCTGGGCAAATGAATTCACGGTGACAGGCCACTGAAAGGAACGAGCCTTCACAACTGTGCTGTGTACTCTCATGATCTGCCACCGCAGGGCCCCGATTGCTCGAGCGAAGGCAAACTGCGCTCGCATTGGCTTCGGAAGGTACAGGTCAGCGTAACACGACTAAGTGCGAGCACACCGCACCGAGCGAGGGCAAACTCCACTCGTGTTAACTTCATAGAGGTACAGGTTGGCGTTGCACGACCACGAACGAGGACACCGCACCACTCTTCAGTCTAGCGTTCGGAAGAGGCAACGAAAAGTAAGCGTTCGCAGCAGGAGCGAGGCGCCGTTAATGAGTCTGAGTGCGCTCCAAACAAAGGGAGCCGATGAATGGAAAGACAACGTGTGCTCACCCTTCGATGTCTTTAGAGGTCTCTCTGTCTGACTACCAACGTGCGGACGCAAAAATCCCAAGAGATGTTAGAACATGACAATGGCGACAAAGCTCGCGCGGTGGGGTAGTCGGATGGTGTTGGGGTAGCCGCAATGCAAACGCGGTCTGCAAATGCTAACGTTGTGCAGACAGCTAAAATATAATTTTATTTTGAAATAGCGTAATTACTCGAATATAACGCGCCCCGTTTTTTCCGTTTAAGCGAGTTCATAAATCACATGCGCGTTAGAATCGAGTACGAAAAAAAAAAATGAATACGGTAATTCTATTGCCATCGGCATTCCGAAATGGCCGCCCCCTACGTGCGTCGGCATGGCGCGTCGGCCATTTCTGCCTATGTGTTTCCCATGCGCAGCACTTCG